AAAAAAAAAAAAAAAAAAAAAAAAAAAATCTCCTGCCCGATTACTCTATGGTGTGTCAGTGCTCACTTGTGTTGTAGTGCGTATGTAATACAACTGAAGTTTGGGTTCACAAAACACAACCTGGCCACTCTGCACTGTTTATGCCCTCACACCATGCAACAATACAATCACTGCCTGGAACACCTCCGTTAAGACTGTTGTATAATATGAATTGCAGTGTTTTTACTCTACAAAGTTTTCTGCTCTTGTAGAAAGTATAATCAATTATGGAAAACAAAAACTTGTAATATTTTTCTACCATCATTCCTTAGCATATAAAAATAAAATTAGTTTATCTTTGGATTAAATTATGTTAGACTGCCTGATTTTAAAAATGGTTGCTTGAGCTGCACATGATGATACTTGGGAGGCCGAGGCAGACAGATCTCTGTGAGTTTAAGGCCAGACTTGTCTACAAAAGTGAGTTCTAGGACAGGCAGAGGCTATGTAGAGCTCTGTCTCAAAACAACAATAACAAAGTTTTTTTGAGATTAACACATCATTAAATTAATTCTGTCTTGGGATTAGGACAGAATTTTAATAATTTTTGTTATGTCCTAAACATACTTCTACCGTGTATGATGTAATTATACCAAGTGACATTCTCAACTCTGACAATTATAAAATCAAAATAACAACTCTGGAAGATGTTGAAAATACTTTCTGACCTACAGTATCAAATATTTGGCCAAACTCTACCTCTTTAAAAACTTTTAAATGTATTACTATTACTGTACGTGTGTGAAGATCCGGGGAGGGAGATGGTCCTCTCCTTCCACCTGCTGTGGTATTCTAGGGACCGACCGCAGTCCAGCAGATTTACATTCACAGAGTCTCTCCCTACGAACTATCGGGCTAGCCTCAACTGTTATGTAAAAATAAAAGAGCCGTATTCATGAGATTGTAGACCTGCTTCTGTCTTTAATAAATGGTAAAATTATTTCTAACACAGAATTATTTTGAAATACATTTATTTATGGTTGATTTGTATACCTATATGCTCATGTCATATCAAACTGCTCAGATTAAAGGAGTCATTCAGTGGAAAGAATTGAACTGGACCACATTATCTTGGGAGATGTTCTGACACTGTGCTGATCTTTGTGGCCCTCATGCTGTGGGAAAGTGTAATATATGGAGGAGTATAAACAGCGTTAAGGAAGAGTCCCTGTATACTTACAACTCACTTTTTAATAGCATTAAAGTTGTAGACGATGAAAGCAGTTAAAACATCCTGTTATTGTAGTCTTGTTTGTTTTTACAGTGCTGGAGACTGAACCAAAGGCCTTGTTCTCACCAGGCAAGCACTTTGCCACTGAGTTATATTCCTAATCAATACTGTTATTGTAATAGTAAAAATAAGTCACCACCTATGTACTGAGGACTGATTTCCTTATTTGTTGACCTTTTATTGATTCCCTTTGGCTTTTTGTTCTTTTCAGACTCGTTATCATCTGATCCAGAGGCTGAACAGCTTTATGAAGTGTGTTCCTTATGGAAAAGGCTTAAAGGCAGGAAAGGACAAGTATGTACATAAAAGTAAGGCATGAGTTATCTATAGGTATAATGTAGTCAAACTACTCATCTCAGTTGTCAGCTTGATGGGACTCCTCACCCGAGAGATGGACTTCTGGGCATGCCTGTGTGGGACTGTCTCGGTAACATTAAGTGAGATGGTGCTCTAGCTACTTTCTGTTGCTGTGAGAAAACACTCTGACCAAGAACAACTCAGGGAAGGCAAGGGTTTATTTCAAGTTACAGTCTCTCAATTTGTGAGCTTAACAGAAACTTGAAGCAGAAACTATGGAGGGATACTTGCTGGCTCGCTTGCAGATCCACACTTAGCTTTCTTATACAGTCCCAGACCACCTGTCCAGGGAATGGTGCCATACACAGTGGGCTGGACTCTCCTACATCAATTCACAATCAGGAGAATCCCTAACAGACATGCCCAGATGCCATCTGATCTGGGAAATCCTTTGAGATTCCTTTTGTAGAAGACTCTAGGCTGTGTCAGGTGGATAGTTAAATCTAACTAGGGCATGTGAGAAAAGTAACTAACATACAAAGATAAAAGGGAGGTGGTGGAATGTAGGTGATAGTCAACCTGTGTCATATGAACAATAAGTTGTGACATCCTAGGAAAAGTCAAACCAGCTTAGCCACACAAACAAAATTAATGTACAGGGACATCTAGCATAATTTATTTTCTATGACTATTTTGTAAATCTCACTTGATAAAAGGAATAAGAATGAACCATTAAGAGGAACTAAGCTGTATGACTACAGAAAATCTGCAGTTCCTGTTTTCAGTAATAACTTGAGTTTCTTTTACAGTTTAGAGTCACCTGGTTCTAGAAATGCTACCAGGCTGCCCTCTTCTATAAATGTTTGGCTTGAGAGAAAGAAGATGAAGGAAAAAATTAGGACTTACAAATTATAGCCATGTTTATAATATAAAGATAAGCAAAGGAATCGGGTGGTGGTGGCTCACGCCTTTAATCCCAGCACTCGGGAGGCAGAGGCAGGTGGATCTCTGAGTTTCAGGCCATCCTGGGCTACAGAGTGAGTCCCAGGACAATTCTGTAAGAGAGGAAAAATGAGCTAATGTTCCCTCCTATGGTCAACTTTCTTTCTTCTTCAAGGCTACCTGAATTGGCCCACAATTGTCAGCTAGGTCCTGCTCCTTGGACAGCCCCTGTGGTTGGTTCTGCACCTCTGCAATCAGGAGACCCCTACCTAGCCCTATAACCCGTCACCCGAGTCCTCTCTCCTTTAAAAGCCACATATCCCTGGCTGAACATGGAGGCACACACCTTTAGTCCTAGCATTCAGGAGGTGGATCTCTGTGAGTTCAAGGCCAGACTGGTCTCCAAAGTGAGTTCCAGGACAGCCAGGGCTGTTACACAGAGAAACTTTGTCTCAAAAAACCAGCCCAAAACAAAAAACTCCATATATCCCAACTTGGCTGCCCTGATTCCCCCCAAACCCTGCCCTTCATATCCTAGAGGAACTCAAGAAGTTCACCTTGAGACCCTGGCATGGTTCTCTTGCAAGAGATGAAGGGAGAATTCAGACCCACCTATGTATAGAGTCTTTTTGTGTTAGCTGAGCTTAAAGAAATTAAAAAGGGAATTAGATAGTTCCACTGAGAGTCTTGATCAGAACATACAGACCTTTCAGCATCTAAACAGCCTTTACAGCATGGCCTGGAGAGATTTCATGCTCATTTGAGATCAGACCTTGACCTTAGATGAAGAAAGGTAGAGGAAAGGGCACTAGCAACTGGTACTGACTAACATGGTCCAGTGTCAAGACTCACAGGCCCGGGTTCCCAGAGGAGACCAGGAGGCCACTTTCAGTGGTCCATCTAGACACCCCCTTGGTCATTGGAAGAGAAAGCACTTTATGATATTTCTGAGGATTTAATCAAATCTCTTGATTTTTTTTTTAAGATTTATTATGTATACAGCATGTATGCCTGCAGGCCAGAAGAGGGCACCAGATCTCATTATTGATGGTTGGGAGCCACCATGTGGTTGCTGGGACTTGAACTCAGGACCTCTGGAAGAGCAGCCAGTGCTTTTAACCTCTGAGCCATCTCTCCAGCCCCAAGATCAAATCTCTTGATTACTATTAGCTGAGGGTCATTTCCAGACAGAAAGTAAATCTCTTAGTATTTGTGTCCCAAGGCTGTTAGAAAACATACTAATATAACACCAGAATCCCTGGAGGATGTCCTCCTGAAAGACACAGACTTCGTCCAATCAGTTCCAGATATCCAAAGAAAATTGCAAAAACTGGTGGCTAAACCAAATGCGAGCCTGGACCCATCTGTCTAGACCACTACCTCAATGTATTTCAAACCGAACCTGGAAAGGGAGAGGTAAAAGAAAAAAAAAAAAAAAAAAAACGACATAATAACCTGCTGGCTGTTAAGAGAGCTACCCAAGGAAGAGCCATCCTGAAGTAGGACATGCTTCCTCTGTGGCCAGCCAGTGTACTTCTGGAGGGAACGTCCCAAGAACAGAACTGTAAGAATTCTGTCTCACTCTTACCTGAACCCTTTCCCAACTGCCAAGGCAATAACTGGAGAGCAAGACAACAGCTTGAAAACAGCTCCCCCACCTAAACATTGACGGGTCCTGGGACTTCCCTCTCCTGGGTCCCTCATACCAGTCCAACTTGAGCCCAGGTAAGGTTATAAGGTGGTACACCTTGAACTTCCTAGTGGATACAGCAACCTGACATTTCAGGTAACCCTTTTCTCCAGGTCCCTAGTTCCAGAAAACAGCCATTTTTCCCCAGGACAAATTGGGCTAGCTCCTGAGATGTATTCCATAGCCCACTGCCTGTCAATGGGGAGATATTCTTTTCCAACGCTCATTCCTCATTTGGCCTTCCCTTTGGCAGAAGTCTTCTTCCTCAGCGTAAGTGGGACTTGTCCTGCTTCTCACAGGGACTCTATGTCTGCCTCTGGTGGAGGACAATGTAGACCTTTTAGTGCAGACTAGATGGGAGACTATAGGTCAGGCCATAACTGCCTCACCAGTTCTGACACTTCTAAAAGATCCCGAGCGACAAAACAACAAGCAGCAAAACGCCTTGACAGTCCAACGTCTAGGTAAGGATGAGCACCCAAAGGGAGCGCTGCCCTCCGGGTGGGAACCTGGCAGTTAGGGATGGGGTAAATGTGACAGCTGGACCATCCAAAAGGCTAAGCATTCAAGATCTATGAGCGGATGGGTGGGGCTGTATTGGTATTCTTCTAGATACTACCCGATGGTACTACAACTACAAAACACATTGGCTTTAGAAGTAAATAAGCAGAGAAACACCGTGTGGGCAAGGAAGGCAGTGAAAAAATATGCCAGCTCATTACCTGCAGGAGAAGTTCTTGTAGCTGGGCCCGCTTCTGCTTTATCCGTTCTATCCGCCTCTGCTTCTCTATCTTTAAAACATGTTATAAAAAACAAACATATCCTTAAATCATTTTTTAAGATTTAATTTTATGAGTGTTTTACCTCCACATCAAGTATATCTGGAGTCCTTGGAGGCCAGAAGGCGGCACTGGATCCCCTGGAGTTATAGATGGTTCTGAGCTACTCTGTGGGTGTCAGGAACCCAAACCTGGTCCTCTGCAAGCGCAGCAACTGCTCTTAGACCCCGAGCATCTCCCCAGCCCCCAACAAATCTTTAAAATGAAGCTATACTTTCATCCACTGTTGTTGTATTGAGATAGGGTTTCCCTATGTAGCCCATGCTAGGCTCAGACCCAAGATCCTCTTGCCTCTACCTCTTGAGTGCTGGGTATACTGACCTATGCCATCACATCCAGCATGCCTTCTTTTTTGACACATCAAGTAAAAAAAACACCTTTCTTGTCTGTCCTAACAAATTATTTCCTGTTTGCTCCTTATCTACTCTGGTCTACACTAGGAGCTCCTTTTCATAGTTCTACTAACCATCACACCCTCTGCATTACGTAAGAGTCATATGAACATCTGTGTGACAGTGCTGTAAGAATAAGGGCTAAACCCCTACCCGCCAGTTATGCCCACATCCAGCTGGGCCAAGCTAAACCCGACTCTTTCGCTAACATGCCTCTCTGATCTCAGTCACTACCTAACTCAGATCATACCCAATACTTCCTTCTCTGTACCATTGCCCTCCCCTCCTACCAGGTGTTTTTCATTTAAGAAAAAAAATTTTTGGAGACATAGTGTTGCTATATAACACAGACATGACAGGATCTTGTGAACCTCCTGCTTCTACCTTCCAAGTGCTGGGATTACAGGTGCACACTGTTGGACTCGGCATTTTAAAAACAGCTTCCTGGGCTGGAGAGATGGTTCAGTGGTTGGGAGCCTTGGCTGCTGTTCTAGTAGACCTGGGTTCAATTCCCAGCACCTACAAGGCAGCTCACAACTGTCCCTTTGAAAAAGACTACCGAATGATCTCTGTCTTGCTCACCAAGAAAAAATAAATAAATAAAAAATAAAAATAAAAACGGCTTCCCATTGTTTCCATGAGGGTCTACACTGCCTAGCATTCATAAGTTTACTGTATCACTTCTCCACAGCCATGTATCTTGACCACACTCAGCTATAAGAATAATTTCATGTGCCTGTCTTGGTCTATGTAATGCCCTCTCACCCTTAAACATTCGGCAAACTTTTGTTCCTCTGTCAAAACTGAATTCCATGATCATTTCCCTGGTAAAAATCTACTCTATCCCTCCTTCCGAGAGAATCTTTTTGTCACGGGTGCTCCTTCTCTCTCCCTTCTTCCTTCTCATTCCTGCGATAGAACCGAGGGCCTCATTCATACTTGGCAAGAGCTCTACTTCTGAATTCTATCTTAAGTTCAGATTAAATCGTATTTTTGACAACTCTTCCATTTTTCATCTCCTATATCAGAGCAAGAGTTTAGTTTCTTGGGGTCTTTATTTTAGTGTTAAACTTTATCTTGTTCTGTGGTTAAGGACATGGTAATGTCAGTAGATTTTAGCTGGTAAGTTAATGTAACTATAATGATGTTCAAATTCTCCTCAGGAAGAAGAAAAAGAGAAAGGGAGACATTTCTACTGTAGCACATAAAAGCACTATTCTGTAGCCTTTGATGAATGTGGTTTTTTTTTTTTCTGTCATTCACAAGAACAATAATAGTAATACTTTTTTAAAATTTCTAGGTGGGGGTGGAGTGCAAAAGAACAGAGTAAAATCTGAAGTCAACTGTAATTATCTCCAAGAGCCACTGTTAACCTCAGTCCATACTCATGGTCTTAAGAGTAAAGTTACAACAAACCAATTCATTTCTGAATTGTGTCAGAAACACACTCATTTACAGACATTTTTCTATGGTGCTTTAAGTTAACCACGCTAAAAATACTTTTTAACATTGTTCCAATTTCAGTGAAGGCCACATACTAAATGCCACCCTGTCACTTACTGACGGTAGAAGTCCAAGGTAAGTTTAACTTTTATAGTTATCGTTAGGATACTGGATATGCAACCCAGGAAACAAACCGCCAGCCTGAGCTATTGTTTGGAAGCATACAGATGTACTGGGCATCAAAATAATTAATCAGGTAAAATTAGATCTAGTAGATGACCTGCCTAAAATTTCTTGGCGGGTACTTAGAATTAAATTAGAATGAAATAAAGATCTTTTCTAAGAAACAAAAATGAAATCAATTCATTTAACTTTATTGCTGTTGTTGTTTGTGTTGGGCTATTTGTTGTTGGTCTGTGTTGAGACAGGGTATAGACTCAGGCTAACCTTGAACTATGTAGCAGAGATGACCCTGACCCTTGATCCTTCTCCTACTTCCAAGTGCTGGGATTACAGGTGTGCACCATCATCACATTCATGCCCAGACCACTCACTGACATTCTGTTACTCAGTTCATGATTTATAAAACAAACTGCAAAACTTGAGAGTTTCTCCAAAACTCTTCCAATTCAGAATTCTCCACAGAATCTTAAAATAATGATAGCAAACATGAATAACCAGGAATAGTTTAGTATTACATGATTATATTTCCAAATGAAAGTCCTGCATGTCAAAAAACAGACAAAAAGCCTACTATCCAACAGTGCTTCCTACTTACCTCCAGGTTTTGACATTCCTGAGCAGAATTGGTAGGCAAGCCAATCCACTTGATTTCTTTTTTTTCCTTTGAAATTATGTTCATTGCCATTAGCACATTTAAAGCATCATAAACTCTTCGTCTAATGTTCTTCTGATCATAAGCCTGCTAAAAATATTTTCATTAAGTGATATTTTTTTTTTTTTAGACAGGGTTTCTCTGTGTAGTTAGTTTTGGTGTCTGTCCTGGATCTCGCACTATAGACCAGGCTGGCCTCGAACTCACAGAGATTTTAAGGGTTATCTTTCACATGCTATTGGTGTCAATAACAATATCTCCCAACTGCTGAAAAAATTCTACATCCAGTGAAAACATCTTCAAAATCCAATTAAACATTTTTATTTATTTATGTTTACATTTTTACTTGTGCGTGTGTTGGAGGGCACTAATTCTTGCCATAGTGTCTGTCCACGTGAAGTTCAGAGCTACGGTGGAAGCCCACTCTCTTCTCCCGTCAAAGGAACCCTGTGACGGACTCAGGTCATCAGGCTTGGTGGCACTGTGCCTCTGTTGGCTGAGCTATCTTACTAGCTCAGGACACTACTTATCTGTTTATTTCCTAGGTGGTTCTGAGGACGGAACACAAGGCCTCGTGTGTGCTGAGCAAGTGTTCTCCCTGGGTTTCCCTATCTCCACCTCTGAAGACACTTGAATACAAAATAACCCCAGAAAAAAATATACTACCACCAAATTGACACTGAAAAATACTAAGGGACTTCAGGTGCGAGAAAGATTACTAAAATGGAAACTTGGGAGATGTAGAAAATAAAAATATATGTGTAAATCTCAGCTATATAAAAACAGTTATCATATAGAACCCAGAATCTGTAAAACTTAATACCCATGACAAATGTATATAGAGAGGTAAGTATTAAAAGTGCCTGCATTATAGGAAGAATTTTATACTTTAAAACCATCAAGGAGATAGCGGAGTGGGCCCAGTGCTTGCTGTAAAAGCATGAAAACCTGAGTCTGGATCCCCATTGCCCATGTCAAAGCCAAGTGCAGCAGGCACGCATCTGTACCCCGAGAACAAGGGCAGGGAAGACACGTGGATCCTGGGTGCTTACTGGCCTCCCAGCTGGCCAGTCATTAAGCTTCAGGTTCAGTGAGAAACCCAGGCTCCCGGTGAATATGCCAGGAATGGTACCTACATCTTTAATCTCAGCACTTGGGAGGCAGAAACAAGTGGTTCTCTGTGAGTTCCAGGCCAGCCACTGATATAAACTAAGACCCTGTCTATAAAAAAAAACATAAACAAACAAATAAATGAAAATAAGGTGATACGTAACAGATACTCAATGTTAACCTCTGTAATCTGCACACCTATGCATTAGCCTCCACATACACGTATATACAACACAAACAGACAGCATATCCATACACACATACATATCAAAGATGGATGTTTTAAGGTCTATGGAAAACTGTGCTTCTTACAATGTGGTTCATGGAAAAGTGCTGACTAGCTGTTTTCAGTCTATAATGAGAACAGGACCTTATCCAAAAATATTTCTGTACTCTCAGCACACTGATTGGTTCAGCTAACCCTTTCCTTTCTTTTGGTAATAAAACTTTTATTGAATGAATACATTTATATTGATTTGTATGATGAGGTTCTTATTGTATTGTAGATAAGATGTTCTGGTTTTCTTTTTTTTTGGTGGGGGAGCTTTTTTGAGACAGTCTCTGTGTAGGCCTGGATGTCCTGAACTTATTCTGTAGACCAGGCTGGCCTCTATTCAGAGATCCACCTGCCTCTGCCTGGTGATAGGAAGTTCTTAAAGACAAAACTGAATCAATTAAATGTCATGATAATAAAGGATAGTGGGGAACACTGAATCTATCCAAATATAAAATGTAATTAAATCAACAGAAAATTTAAATTATGGAACTGAATGTAAATATTGTATCCTTGACATTGTAGACTACATCTAACATCAATTTCCTAGTATTCTGAACTTTTCTATTCTGTGGTTTTTTTTTTTTTTTTTTTTTTTT